CATTAAGAAGAAGAGAAATATCTAAAACACACAAACCCTAAACCCTAAACCCTAAACCCTAAACCCTAAAACCCTAAACCCTAAACCCTAAACAGTGAGGGTTTAGGAGAGTGTAGTATACACCGCATTGAATCAAGGGTTTAGATAGGCAATCCAAACCCCAGTTATGAGGGTTTAGGGTTTGAGGTTTAAAGGGTTTAGGGTTTAGGGTATATTAGGGTTTAGGGTTTAGGGTTTAGGGTTTAGTACCTTTAACAGAGAATTCTTCGATTTGTTTAATGATAAGAGGAGCAACAACCTCCACTAACCGCATATCTCTATATCTGTAACACCAAACTTTAAACCCTAAACCCTAAACCCTAAACCCTAAACCTTAAACCCTAAACCCTAAACCCTAAACCCTAGAATTTATTTATATATGTGTATATATATGTGTATATATCCCTATATAAGACAAAAAACCCTAATATTTTTCCTTTTTTCCTTCTACATAGGGTAATTAAGATAATTAGGGTTTAGGGTTTAGGGTTTAGGGTTTACTGTATCTTAGCAGTTGCATGCACAGCAGCAGCAAGCTGATAAGGAAGCAGCAAAGGAGCAACTAAGGATAATTTTCTTGTTATTCCCCTCCATAGATAATTATTTCTTATATTATTTGCTGCTGCTCTTACTGCAGCAGCAACTGCAGCAGCAGGACATAATACTCTTATACCTCCTCCTTCTCCTGTTGCTGCTGCTGTTGTTGTTGCTGCTGCTGCTGCTGATTCGTCTGCTGCTGCTGCTGCAGCAGCAGCAGCAGCAGCAGCAAAACGACGCCCACGGCGTGGGGCCTTCGGCTGCTGCAGCTTCTTAAGTTTGTTTAGTGTTGCTGCTGCTGCTGCTGCTGCTGCAGATTCATCAAGAGATAGCACTTTTCCTCCTCCTGCTGCTGCTGCTGCTACTGCTGTTGGTGCTGCTCCTGCTGCTGCTGCTGCTGCTGCTGCTGCATTAGAGGGAGAATAAAGAGACTCAATACAAAAGGATGATAAATCAACTTCATCCAGGTCATCTACATACCTCTTGCTGCGTCTGCTGTTGCTGCTGCTGCTGTTGCTGCTGCTGCTGCTGCTGCTGCTGCTCATGCTCCTGCTGATGCGGATGTTGCTACGGATGCTGCTGCTGCTTGTGCTGCTGCTGCTGCTGGTGCTACCTATGCTGCTGCTGCTGCTTATGCTGCTGATGCCCCTGATGCTGCATCTGCTAAAGCTGCTGCTCCTACTAAAACCACTGCTGCTGCTGCTGCAGCTGCTGCTGCTGTTGCTGCTGCTGCAGTAACTGTAGGTAGGTCTTGGTGGACTGACTCTGTGGGGAGAGGCGCATGCAGCTGCGGTGTCTACGCAGCTGCGGAGCAGCAGACAGCGGGCGCACACAACTGATCTTGGTGCTGCTGCTGCTGTTGTTGCTGCTATTGTTGCGCCCCTAGCTGCTACTGTGCTTGCTGCAGCAGCAGCAGCTGCTGCTGCTGCTGCATGCAGATCTGATCTGCACAGGGCACGGAAGCCCCAGGAAGTTAACCGGTGTGGAAGGATTTGCTGCTGCATGCGGCAAACCATTGTCCATCATGCTGCTGCTGCTGCTGCTGCTGTTGCTGTTGCTGCTGTTTCTTGTGTCGATTGTCCTGCAGCAGCAGTTGCTGCTGCCGTCGATTGTCCTGCTGCTGCTCCTCCTGCTACCCCCAACGCTGCTGCTGCTGCTATTGTCTCTGCATCTCCCACATACGTTCCTGCTGGTGTGGGTGTGGGTGACGCTGCTGCTGCTGCTGCTGCTGCTGCTGCTCTGGTTGCTGCTGCTGTTGCTGTTGCTGCAGCTTCTGCTGCTGCCGTGGGTGGGTTATGAAGACTCCTTAACTTGCCTACAGTGTATAATCTATATATTAACTAATAAAATAAATAAATAAATAAATAAATAAATAAATATGCATGCAAGAAGATATTTATTGGGGTGTACGTACACCTGAATTCATCGCCTTTTTTTCTTATAACACGCAAAGAGGGAGAAAAGGAGAGTTATTGTATCCAATTAGGGGGAAAATTAAATAAATTTATATTTAATTAATTAAAATAAATTAAAATAATTAATTTATAGTTAAAATATTAAATAAATAGAAGAAAATAACATAAAAAAAGGACAAAAAAGAAGAAAACTCTTTTTCTCTTCTTTTTGCCGTCGTGTTTCCTTCGCCACTGCTGCTGCAGCCCATCAATAAAAAAGAAGAAAAAGAAGAAAAAATAAATAAAAAATAAATTAAATAAATATAAATTAATAAATAATAATTAATTAATTAATTAATTAAATAAAATAATTTATCTTTTATACCTTAAGGCATACAAGACGAAGGAAACAAATCCCTAAACCCTAATCGAGGGTTGTCGGCACTCATCAATTAGGGTTTAGGGTTTAGGGTTTAGGGTTTAGAGATTAGGGTTTAGGGTTTATAAATATCCACGACGTTCTTCTTCAT